CTGCTCATTATACACAAAGTAATTAAATGTGATTTTGTTGTTGTTGATAATTATCTTGTTCCCTATTTTTGTTGTAAACGAGTAGTTCTAATATCATCATCATATCAATAAATATGGAGTAAATTAGCGTTACCAACTGAATATATTCAATACTGTTTGCACTACATTATACATGTACAATACATTGCCATGCTTGCATTTCATACATGTAGATGGGTCTCTGAAACTGAAATTCGTTATAATAATTGTGAGCAATGCCATAACATATAATCCAAATACACCCCCTCCTATTCAAGGGAAAGTCCATCCTGATATTAAGTTGGTGTTCGTAAAAGCAGGAATATGAGAGAAACAAATTAGTAATTTTTTGAGCAATATCAGAATAATGGGGAAGTGAAGAAAAGCATCAGCAACGCTGGATGAGCGCAGCGAGAACACCGGCAGCGGTGTGAAGGGTGTTGAGTACGAAGTGATCGCGTTGTATAAAACGGAAGTAACGTGGCATTACTGTCTTGGCAATGAGCCTGCAAACACCTGGCGATCGAAGTCATTTTCAATGTAATGCGCTTGTAATATACTATAAGCGCAGCTGCTACGTCAGACCTACACATATACATGTATGTCTTTTTTAATACGCTCTTCAGCACCTCCGCGATCTCGATGCGGAAGTTTTGAATGATATTCAAAATGTTGTGGCGACTAGGGGATAGGTTCAAGAAACGATGGAGAAAGTTTAAAATATCAAGCAAAGATCTACAACAACGCTTTTTCGATTATGGGGATCGCAACAAATCGTCATACAGTGTATTGAGACGGGGGTATTAAATCCGCCAGTCACGTGAATGCTTACGTACAAGAATACAAGACCTTGCTAAAAAATCAAATCATCAAACCAACCAATCATTCTGACCGGGTTTCTTTTTATTTTACATCACATCACATGTGAGGTAACGAGTGTACATGGTTTACTACTTTGAGCTATTAATAAACTGGTGTAGGGATTACACTTTAGGTACAGTTAAAAGTTCTTCTATTTCTTCTTTCATAATACCGTACAGTATACTACCGTGTGAAATTGGTGGATCACAACACCATTGTTAATGTTAAAGATAAAGGTGAGTTCTGGTAATGCGATTGCATTGTGAAAAATAAATGGTGTGGAATGGATCAGAAACAGTTGATCATGTGTAGCATGTAAATATTGGTGTGCACTGCAAGGCTCTGGAGTCATCAAAATCATCATAAATTTGGCCGAGTCTTGGTAAAGTAACAAGCACTGTACACAGAAAGCTATATATGGGACAACACACATGGTGTCGGGGCTAGTACTGCCTTGATTTCCTTGTCTTTCTATGCTCATTGCTAAGCCAGTATACATTTTATGCAAAAACTGTTTGGCACATGTCATTTATTTGTAATCTTGAACATTCAGTGTAAGTTTCGTTTGATTATGTGAGAATTAATTTTCTTTTTTTTAACCAGAACTGGAGTTTATCTTTAAAGGCACAATTTCTTTGGAACCATCAACCTTGACAGCTTGGGACGCTGGTTTGAGGTCTCTATTGTCCACAGGAAAGATTGCAGTCTGATTTTTATCCCCAAGATTCTTTTCCAAATTTGCACAAGCGAGGGTCGGTTTATGGTTCACTATTTATATTACGGGGTAGATTACAGCAAGAGTTCCGAGATTTATATCTGAAAATTGATTTATCCATATCCCTGAAAAACTACATGAATGAGAGAAAATATATATATGTTGGTTATCTTTGGATATATAAATAAGAGAGGGAAGTGAAATTCAATTTCACATAATAACCTTGTTCTGTATCCCTGAAAAATACAGGGATAACATTACAAGAAATATAACTAAATAAAAAAGTCAGTTACTTTTCATAATTAAAGTTGATATCAAGAAAAGACCTATTTCCCTAATTAGCTAACCAACAACGATAGATCCCTAAGAGCCTAGGCCTGTCTTCATCAGCTCAAGTTTGCCAAATAACCCGCTATTTTCACGCCCGGATATTATCCCGAAGCTCGAAATTGCGTCTTCACCAGACTGATAGGCTCATCACAAACTAGCTCGGACGTGCTCAAATTAACCCGCTATTTCCCAAATAGTGGGATACATGATTGGGAGTGGGGTATGCATCCTCCAGAATATCGTTGTCATTACTGATTTTATGAACAATTTATTAATCTGTTTAATCACTCATTTAGTTGCTTATCGTATTCATTTGCTCATAATCAATATAATAACGTTAACTGTGAAATCAGATATCAATATAAAGCACTACTGAAATTGATCAATAAAGTTAAGGCAGCCGACACCGGCAATTTTTGTTATGTGATTATTGGCACTCATCGTCATAATTGGAAAAACAAAACCAAAGATTACTAGTACAACTATAAATGTGAAGGACACTTTTGCTGTCATGTTTACGGAAGTATTGTCAATTGCTGAGAGAAGAGAATGACCATTAGCGTTCTAACTTCACGCACAATAGTTTGTAAAAAGCAAACGCCTGATTTTGATTCAATAATGAAAATGAAATCATATTTATTTTTCATTTCAGCCCGTACTACAACGATTCAGCCAATTAAAACCGCCCATACGTATAGTAGTGGTTGCAACTTTTAACCATTCTTTAGTATTCCTGGTTTGTCCGATTTCGTTCAGACTTTCAATAATCTGATTCTCTGACAAGGTTGGCTTTCCCTTTAACTTTTTTACCAACGAATCCCGTCAATCTTAAAATAATAATGAGATTTCTTGTGCCTTCCAAAACAGCATTTCAATTTTTTTGGTCAACTTCCTCATTCTAATTCTTGCCAAATATACGTCAGAAATATAAAGACACACAAAAAAGAGAAAGCCACTGAGTAAAACCTTTTTTACTTGCACCATGTTAATAGCATTGCACCATGCACCTGGCTCTCGTAAACACTCACACTCATCAGTCTGCAAGAATCTTCAACTGTGAAGGAGCTAGACTTAACCCCAAAGAAGAAGAAGAAGAAGATCAAACACCAGACAACATACCCCTTTCCTCCATCTTGATATGCATGCATAGTGGTAACGATGACAAATATTTACCCGTTATCGAAATATATCGTTAAAGATAGTATGTCCCTTTTGCAGCCAACATCAAATTCTGTAGAAATTTGCAGGAATTATGAATATGTCATGTATGTCCTAGTAATGAAATTTAAACGTTAGCAGTGTCCTGATATTCAAATTATGCAAGGAAACCCGTTTACTTGCTAGACTTCACTGTCAGACACTATTGAGAGACTGAGCTGTAAAGGGTTTAAGAGTATTTGTCTACATCAATAACCCACTTCTTGTAATTGCCAAAATCAAACTAATTGAATCTTTGCGCAGCATAAAACGTACGACCAATCGGTACAATAGTCTGAAAATCAGACTATTACTTACTGGCTCTATAGCTCTTAAGTCGATTTGACAACTAATAGTCTTTATTTTCCCACTTAAAGACATTTTCATGCCCCCTTTTTTAAGGAAGTTCTAAATTATTACTATCTTTAAAATGCCGTTGAAATTTATTTCATTTTTTGTTGGCCTGCAAATGGGACATAGTACCTTTTAGTTGAGTTATTGAGAGAAACTCTCTGGAAGCAATTGATTGTCGGTTATCGGTAAACAAGGATTGGAGAATAATGTGAGCTTTGGAATCACCATGAAGCGGCACTTAACTGGAAGAAGAAGAACGGAACTCAAGTCTTCACATACAGATGCACTGCATACATAAATGGGTATATGGGACTATGGTTTTTTACTAGCTAGTAAAATCCATGATGTGACTACACAAACGTGTGGCACGAGAGTTCGATCCGAATTTTTCATCTGTTTCTCGTCATATTTCGAATATAATATGAGGACACTATAGAAGGGCAATATTATTCAAGAGAAATTTCTTTTACGAAAGCTTTTCCCAAAATACATTAGAAGAAAAGAAAAAAATCATCAACAATTCTCCCGTTTACAAAAAGTAATTCGACCTTCTATTTAACTTTTGGTGAATTATGTTGATTAATTGCCAGTAGAGTATAGACATTCATAGAGAGTGCACTATGTAATATGGTTACTTCTATTGTATTGGTATAAAACGCAATTAAACGAACTAGGCGTGTCAGTACACATTGCAATTCAACCATGACGACGCATAACAGCTTTAGAATTTATATGTTCCGTGGAAAATAGCCATTCATTTTGAGATAACGCAGATTGAAACTGACGTCATAGTCATGAATTACCTTTACCTTTACCGCAAATACTGGAAGAATGCTGAGACAGCAGTCGAGCTTCCAGGTCTATTTTCTTGGTCTATCTTCTTGTACTCATACTCTTTAATAATAATTCTCATTATATGCAAGGGAGGCAGAGGGGCAAGAGGTTGCATCTTGACGGGACAATGTACCATGTACAATGTCCCAGGAGCAAAGAAATTGAAAAAATCAGTTCGAGTATTGAGAGATATAACACTGTTCCTTCCAGCAACGATCAAGCCTGGTTTTGGAAAACTTTACTTTAGCTTTTGAAAGTATGATAGAAAGGAGAGGAAGGCTGCAGAAATTATGCTCTCGTGTGAAGAAAATAAGTACAGCTCATTGATGAGATGGTGGTGTAAAGACGGCCCGGAAACAAAATATATGACAACCCCATGCATGTATGAGTAGAATAACCCACAAAGAACCAACAACTAAGCCAGATTACTTGACAACACACTAAATTATGAGAAGGATGAATATACGAGCTGAAACTGAAAGCCTTACTGCTGAGAACACATCATTCTCCCACAATCGTGGGTTAAGGAAAAGGTTAAGGAAAAAGTCAACGGAATCCATGGATAGGCTCTAGACCGAAAAAGGGGGATAGGAACAAGACCGAAAAGGGGGGTCGTGATCGAGTGAGGTACAAGTGAGAGATAAGTGAAATTTTGTGTAATAGTATAAGGGAGGGGTGGACCCCGTGTTACCTCTTTTTCGTCCATTGTGCAGGCAGCATTGATTTGTCCAGTGGTGTCGCGATCAACATTATAACCACGTCCATAGGGAGAGGGTCTGGCGCATCCCTTCATGCCGTTAGGTAGCTTGATCCTGACCGGCGCGGATTCTACCCGTCGTTCATCTGGTCGGCGAGCCACCTCTTTGGGGGCTTCACGTACAGGGGCCCTCGCAGGCAACCTCGGTTCTTCCCTCTCCACGTATCTCTGCCTATCTCTTTCCCTGTCCCTCTCCGTTTCTCTTACTCTTTCCCTTTCACCGAGCCTTCTCTCGGCATCCTGTCTCGCCTTGGCTTCTTTCGCCGCCCTTTCTCTCATCTTGTCCTCTTCCCGTTGCAGGGCCGCCTCGGCCGGGTCGTACTCCACTAGGACCAAGGGCTCATCCTGGACCTCGGTGTCGTGCTCGGAAGACCCCGCCCGCCGATCGACCTCGATGAACGGCGATGACTGGCGAGATTTTTCCAACGAGGGCAAAGCTACGAGAAGAGTGCAAAAAGTGATGGCGAAACAGAGACAGAAAACATGGGCCACCGTCCGACTGACTCTGATAGTGTAATATCTCTTCACCATAGTGCACGATGGTCCTGGTATTTGTTTCATGAGGAAAGTCGGCACTGCTTCACTTCTATACTAAATATACTTAGAACCACGTTGTGACACGTATGATCGTACTCCAATAAATCTTGAACATTCGTATATTCCGCCGACAGGACATTGACTATATGCCTTTTTCACGCCGATTTGTTCCCCAAATATACCACAAACGCATACAACCAAGTTCCAGAGAGAGTGAATAATATATGCGTCTATTAAGAAGACGAATGCCTTTTGAAAGCCCAACTTACGACACCCATCGATGAGTAGTGGAGCGTGGTATGTTTGATAAGTTCTTTTGTGTTTGGGGCTAGGCCTTACTCCCATTGGTTCTTCTGCCCGATAATCTCTTCTCATCTATTGTTCCTGGATCGTCTCTGAGTCGGTGGTGTTCGCCCGGTATAGCTTTTCTTTGAAGAAAAAAGTCTCAAGGATCACGGAAGTGCGTGAGGAGAAAAACAGTGAAAAGAGAGGGGGAGAGAGAGAATAGACAAACAAACAACAGAATCGGAGAGTTTATTGCAGAGAACGAGATTAGGGCTGACTTGTGATGTAAATTGTGAGAGAAAAGAAACCAGTCATGATAATGTCACAACACGGCTCTTCTCCTTCTCTCTCTCTCTCTCTCTCTCTATCTCGAGTCTAATCCAAAAAATTGGAATCCGGACCGGCCATAAAGGTTAGAACAATGATAGAACCAAACGCACGCATTTCAATGACATATTCAACGTCATGCGTCGCATACGGTGTATCTGACGATTCTTGAAATAGTACAGGTAGGGATTTACGAAGGATCTCAAAATGTTGATCCCCCACTCGGAAAAAGAAGGTACCAGCTCATAATCTTGAAATAAGAAATACCAGGAAAGGATGATAATCATAGGGTACCGTAAAATGCATCATGCATTTTATATCGATCTCCTTGAAACGTCGCTTATACATACCTTTACCAATTAATTTTTCAGAATTGAGGGTACCATGAAAAATCACATTTATACCGTATTCAGTTTCATAGCTCAGATGACCTATTTATCTAGAAAGGGGCCTTCTTGAGAGAAGTTGATTAAAGATAATCTTGAGTTCTGGTAAAAAAAGAAAATGAATTCTCACAGAATCTAACGAAACTTACACTGAATATTCAAGATTACAAATAAATGACATGTGCCAAACAATTTTGGAAGAAATGTATACTGGCTGAGTAATGAGCATAGAAAGATAACGAAATCAGGGTAGTACCAGCCCCGACAACATGTTTGTTGTCCCATGTACAGCTTTCCGTGTAAATGATTGTTACTTTACCAAGACTGCCAAATTTATGGTGATTTTGATGACTCCAGAACCTTGCATTACACACCATTACTTACATGTTATATGATCAACTGTTCTGATCCATTCCACACCTTTTCTTTCACAATGCAATCGCATTACCAGAACTCAAGTTTATCTTGAAGTTCACTGGTTGATAGGTATGGTGGCGTGGTCTAGCAAGATGTAACCTGCTTTACCCCAAAATAGTAGTTGTCATATGAAATTGTTACGAAAAATTGCCTAAAATAAGTGATAAATTGGTATTTTGTTCTTCTCCATTTTCCATTAACTTCAGCAGATCCAATTGTGAAATGTTAACGATTTTTCTTTGTGACAAAGATCATTAATCAAGCTTTCCAATGACGTTGGCGGCATCTAATCGCAGACATCAAAGGTAACAGAAGTTTAATACAGCACACCTGCAGATTCTATTGTGCAACCTTAGAAAACGGCATCTGCTTGAAATAATTTGTTGCTAGTTGGGACTCCAGCTCTAAAAATTCCTTGGTTAGACACACTCCGACGCGCTGTTTTTGTTGGTGTTTGCCTGACAAAGCAACGTGCGACGAGGTCCACCTATCCATGTGTACTGACACCGACGCCAATAGCTTGTTCTCAGTGAAAGTGACTCGGTAACATTGTTGAAGGCTGATGAAAAAACTGCGTAATTTTTGTATGAAATGTAACTCAATATGTTCCTTCTACTGTACTAATCCTTTAACATGCAAGAACTCCTGATTTTTTTTCTTCAAACCACACATATATTTATGGTTTTCTTTGGCGTCACTGTGCGATGCGCTCTTTTCCATGAAAATTAAACATAAGACAGGCTTTTAAATGTCTGGAATTGTATATAGAACCGATTCATTGCTTTGTAACGATTTACATTCACCTAAAATGTAATTAAATTGTAGAAATATAGTTGGGAGAATTAAGGAATCAATCAGATCAGTTTCCCCAATTTTTATCGTTTGCAGTGGTCTGCTTTCATTCAAACTTCAGATTATCTTTACTTGTACTAACCTAACTTGTACATGTAGCATTGAAGTCACTACCTTAGCACGGCCATTTCCTCCCATCTGAACAATGTTACCAAGTCCCTTTAAAAGCATGAACTGTTCAAATTTGAAAGTACAATGCAATAAGCCAGTTTGTAGAAACTAGCTGCGCATTGGCAGATAAAATGTTTTGTACAATAATTGTAAAACCCATTGGCCCGAATTCACAAAGGAGGTTTGTTGACCTTGGTTTTCGTACATCATGACGCGTTTTACACGTTTTTTTTTACAAACCTGGTTTGTAAAGAACAAAAGGAGGTTTGAGCTCAAACCTTGCTTTGTGAATTCGGGCCGTTGCTATGTAACCATACGTCACTACCGATGGTACATTCTCCTATACAGGGGCGGTCGAGCGACTTCCAAAGTGGGGGGGCACCAACAAAAAAGGGCACTTTCTGAAGAAAAAAGGGCACCTACAGTGGGAAATCTCAAAGCGAAAATATACAATTTTTTAGACATTGGTACATACCCCTGCATTGTGATTACATTATCAGGGATGATTTCAATATTTGTTTCTCTTCATACATCATACAAGATATCGCTTAAGCATCATACTTTACAGTTGGGTGGGATGTCTGAATATGCATTTACGAGCGAGCGAAGCGAGCGAGAAAAATTTTAAAGATCTGCGAGGTCGCAGTGCGAAAAATTACATCTTATAAAGAGGAAAAAAGCCAATCGTGATGGGGTTATAAGCACATTCTCTTAACGGAAGACTGAAAAGACCTTTGATAACTAACATAATTATATCATCTTTAAATGCGAGCGAGCGCAGCGAGCGAACTTTGGGGGAAATTGCTCTTAGTCGCTTTAAATAAGGGGCATGTTTAATGATTTCATGAAAAGGGGACAATTATCGAAAGGGATAAGACACTTATTAGAAAAGAAAAGGAGCACGTGTCAAAGTACAAAGGATAATTATAAGAGGTGAACATGAGGCATTTTTTTCACCTGAAAAGAGGCACTCACCTGATGAAAAAGAGGCGTTTACGAAAATGGGAAATAGGCATTTGTTGACGGAAAAAGGGCACCCATCAGATTTTGATAGGGGCATTTATAAGAGGTGAAAAGGGGACAGGTCCCTTATTAGAAAGGAAAAGGGGCACGTATCATTATTAAAAAGGGAATTATCAGAGGTGAAAAGAGGCACTGACCAGATATGAAAAGGGGCACTTATGAAAATGTAAAAGGGGCACTTATAATAAAGGAAAATGTGCATTTGTTGAATGAAAAGGGAGCACCGTTCAAATTTTAAAAAAGGGCCGTTATGAGAAGGGGAGGGAGCTTTTTCTTTTTAATGGGGGCACTTATCATAAGGAAAAGGGGCACTTATTAGAAAGGGAAAGCGGTAGTTATGAGAAGGGGAAGGAGCTCTCTCTTTTTAATGGGGGCACTTATCATAAGGAAAAGGGGCACTTATTAGAAGAAAAAAAGGGGCACATGTTAAAATTAAAGGTGTGCTCATCCGAGTTTAAAAAAGGGGTAGTTATTAAAAGGAGAAGGGGCACTTCTTACAAAGGAAAAAAGGGGCAGTTGTCAAAGTAAAAGGAGCACCTCTCAGTTTTGAATAGGGCAATTATCAGAGGTGAAGGGGGCACTTATCAAAAGTGAAAAGGGGCACTTCTCGTACCTGAAAAGAGGCACTTACTAGAGATTAAAAAGGGCACTTATTAAAGATAATTTCAAGATTTATGAGAATGGAAAATGGACACTTATTGCAAAGGAAAATGGGAACATGTCGAAGGAAAAGGGGCACGTGTCAAAAATAAAAAGGGCACTCGTCAGAGGTGAAAAGGGGGAAGGGGCACTTTTATTTAGTAATAGGGGCACTTGTCAAAGTAAAAGGGGCACTTTTCCTATGTAAAAGGGGCACTTCTTACAAAATAAAAGGGGCACTTTTCCTATGTAAAAAGGGGCACTTTTGGGGTATCTGAAAAAGTGGGGGGGCACTGTGCCCCCCTGCCCCCCCGGGAGAACCGCCTCTGCTCCTATAATACACATTGGTGGAGTATTCTTTTCAAGAGGCCAACCAAAATGTATTCATGAGGCACTTCCATCACTTTCGCAGAGTCTGCAGTGACGAAAATTCTAAAATTCTAAAATGCACAAAGTGGGACGTCTCCATGTTAAAACAGTATGTGATTATTTGGGGTCGTTATAATTATGTATCGCGTGCCATCTCCAAACTGGTATATTATATTGGTTGAGCTGCACAATATATTTAAAAAGATCGAGAGAAAAAAATCATTAAAATGAATACCGTGAACAACAAGAGCAAAGTGGTACATTGTGTAATGTGTACCAATATACCATTTTTTTAAAGGCAACAACCGGCAAAAGGATGGAGAAAGAAGGCGGCAATGTATGGGAAATAAAAGTAGATTATATGCAGATATCTTTTGATGGAGGGAAGGATGTGAGTTAACTCGACTTGGCCCAGTGGTTGGTTAGTGGATCTTCTGAAATGTACATACCGAGTTCGAGACCAAGTTCCAGAAGATGTCATACAGCTTATGAAATACTGTACGTGTTATTGTTGTTTATTTTAACATGTGCGACATGGGTGAGCCCCCTCATCCCCGTTCAGCACTGCTTAAAACGAAGACTTGGCACAAAATGTAATCGGCCTGTTTGGCCCACAGATAATCGCCCCTTAGCTCATTAATGTTCTCAAATAGAATTTAACTTGATATATGACACAAACATATTTTGTTTGTTTTGGTATGTCAGGCTATGTGGCTTGGGACTTTGCAAACAATGCTTTGAGCCACTATGTGATATAACCATTGAAGAATTGTATTCTCAAGTACCGGATCATTCAATATAAGAAATGGGGCGAGGCGGAATTTTAGTCACGTGTCTCACATCACAATTTTTGTTCCAGACTACACTGTTAAAGGATACTACACTACATACTTTCTCCAAGATAGAAACATTCATGTGGAGGGCCTCATGTTATCATTTCAGCGATTAAATCAAATCCTTCACAAGCGATGAATAATGTTTCCTTTATTTACATTCGCTGTAAAGCGAGTTCTATTCCCTGCCTAAATACATGGAATTCTCAGTAAAAAGTTCAGATCAAATTTCGGGAAATGCAAAGATTTGTTTTTCTTTCCGTTGGCACAATTTCTAATCTTGTTGAGCCTAAAGGCTAAGGAGTGTCCTCAAATCCTTTCTCCCCTAAGTTTCCTCAGCAATGACTTAAAGATGAAGTTGAGTTCTGGTCATGCGATTGCATTGTGAAAGAAAAGGTGTGGAAGGATCAGAAACAGTTGATCATGG